ACGGACAACCGAATTCTAGCTTGCAATACGAGGGACCGGCGTTGATCGACGCTTTTGTCTGCATAGACTGGGAGCTAATCATTTAGGACAGCGTTCGTCGTAGTGTGAGTCGCCTCTGCGGCAGTTTTAGACACCGGAGCTGGGGCAAGCGGCTCCTCTGCAGAGGTAGGCATAGTTGTCGGCAAAGTGGCTGGAGTAGGCGGAGGAGGTCTGGAAGACGATGTTATGGGCAAAGTGGGCATAGGCGTCGGAAATCGGCTTCTGGCAAGCGAGTTGACCGGGATAGGCGGAGACGAGCCTGCGGCACTTCATGACCGAAAGCTTCTGCGAAAAGCGCAACAAGTTCAGCATTCTGGCTCCGAAGAAAAGAGCCATCTCATCATCGTCGGTGTCATTTGGGCTCTGAGTCTGGCTGCTCAGAATTTTTCAGATTCAAGACGTTGCAGGTGAGCGAGTACGCGTCAGCCTCGCACAGCTGGCCTCGGCATCGCATTGTGTCTCTTTGCATGACATGGCCCTCTGGCCTTCGCAAGACCCAAACGGCCATGACTTTTTCCTTTCGGGGTACTTTGTCTCCTTACCCTCTTACTGGTGCTCTCCGGTACAAAGAGGGGCACTGCGTGCTTTGCTTTCTTTCTTGCCTGTTTCTCTGCTGAACACTCCACCTCCCAGGTACTCAGCCCTGCATCTCGCGCGGTGGAGGCGACAAGCTGAGCAGAGATGCAAGAACTGCGTACTAAAGAGAGAGAAGGCTTTCCGGCATCGCTTTGCCCAGACAAAGCTTTGCCTCAAGACGCAACGCATTCCTTTACACCCTCTGCGGTAAAAAGAGTGCTTCTGCATGACGTAAAAAACGCTTGCTGTGTGTTTTGCTTTTGTATCAGCTGTGTTTTCTAGGTAGTGTCAGAATACATGCTCCGCAATATGTTGGCTCTTACCTAGAAACACACAGCAACATGCTTGGCAAAGCATTACTTCTTGTTTTCACCCACCCTCCACACCCTGGGGGAAGGCTTTCCGGCATCGCTTTGCCCAGACAAAGCTCTGCCTCAAGACGCAACGCATTCCTTTGCACCCTCTGCGGTAAAAAGAGTGCTTCTGCATTACGTAGAGAACAGCAGCTTTGCAGGAATAGGACCCCAGCCAGGTCGTCGTCGATCAATAGTTTATATATATATATATATATATATTCGGGTGTGTATAGATCTAACATACATATACATACACATATTAGGGGTTTAGATATATGCTGTTAGGTGGGTATATAGTTCCCCAAGCCTTAAACCCTAAACCTCTTAAGCTTTGTTCCTGCAGGTGCTTGCTGCTTAAGCTTGAGGCTTCGGAGTTCTGAGTTCACTAAGCTTCTGATGGTGATTATTCGAGCCCTATATCCTAAACCCAACAATCCAACCCAAGCCGTAGTGCTACATCGAGCTGCATTTTCGTAGATGGCCCCTAATATTAATTAAGCCGTCTGAAGAAGCAAAGACCGCAATACTCCAAAAGTTAAGGGGGTTCGGTTACCTCGGTTCTTTAGTCCTTGATTTTGGGTTCGTGCTACACCTTCTATTCTACGTCTAGTGCGGCAATCAGCAACAAGGCTATAACAAACGAAGCCATCCGAACCCCAGACCCTAAACCCTTAAACCTTAATCTCTACTTTTTTTTCAAATTTTTTGTTTAAGACTCGCTTTGGCTCAAATCTCTTGCGCATGATGCCTAAAGTTGTGCTCTTGATGCACCTGATACTCATGATGCTAGCCAACGGGGGGGTGTGAAAACCATATGGCCGTGACAAGGCGGTTTGGCCATGAAAAGTTTTTTTCGTGGCCGCTAGCGGTATGACCGCACAAACCGTGGCCAAACAGACCCCCAGGATGGCAAGGATGAACCACGCACATTGAGGCACATTGCAAGTCCGGCAGCAGGGGGAGCTCCTGCAGCAACCGGGCCTCCCTGCGGAGTGCGTCTGTGTACGACGCAACGTTAGCTGGGTGGCCGATGGGCGTGCCCAGGGCGAGAAACCCCCACTTGGTTTCAGGCGCGTTCCCGGTCCAGACCGCTTCGCTGAGTTAGGCAATGCCCGCGGGTGCAGGACCGTCGGCGCTGTTGTAAATAACACGCGTCGTGCGCAAGTTAGCGGCAACGCCTGCCCGGTGTGGATCGTCGTAGTGATGACGCCGAGCGCTTCCCACGCGCGAGCACAGCGTAAACGTCGTCAAGAAAGGCGCGCGGCCAAGCATTCACCCGGTTGCAGACGCTCGTGGGCAGCAATGGGGGCATCGTGCCTTGACGGATGCTTTGCCGGCGCCGGAAGCGTCCCACCAGTAGTATGTGGACTCCTGGCCGTACCACAGGCGGACGAACGGCACCAGGGCCGGGGCGACCTCGCGCAGCTTGCGGAGGAATGCGGCACGAGAGATGCGGCCATGTAATGAGACGATCGTGGCATCGGCATCAAGGTCGATGGCAGCGCGCAGCATGCCAGACAGAGCATCAGTGCCCGCACGAGTCTGAAGGGGGAACTGGTAGGGGCGGGGGCCTCGTCACACGTGTCGGCATATTGGCGTGCCAAGCATCGCGACACGAGCCTGCGGAACGTGTCACCAAGGTAGGGATCCACACAGCTCGGCGAAGCGCTGTGCTGCGACTGGTCTCGCCGCTAGCCCGCGCTGGCCGCCCGCAACCCTCCTCAACCACCCGGGAGGGTGCTGCCCTGGCCATCCCCGAACACCGCAAGCGCTGCCTACCCCGAGCTCCTTCGGCGAAGGCTGTGCGTGTTCGCGTGCGAGACCGGCGGACGTTGGAACGACGAGTCGCTCTCGCGCAGCTCGTCCGTTCGCGTGCCTTGCGAGCCCTGCTCCGCTCCGAAGAGCAGCCACTCAGACCTGGTACAGGCCGTGGTGGGGCCTACTCAGTGTGGCTGTTGACAAATACGCTTGCTGTGCCACTTTGCGCAGGTCGCCGCCCGTCCATGCCTCCATGCCTGGCGCGCACCGCCGCCTGCCGGCTCGAAAAAAAGATTGGAGTTGCAGGCCTTGAGACACCAACGGAACTGCTTTGCGGCTCAAGGACAAGCAGCCTCGTCTGTTCTGTGCGCCAACATTGACACAAGCCAACGAGGGTGGGCACAGACCCCTCCACGCCAAGAGGGGGACCGTAAAGGCTGATTCAGCTGCTCCTTGCTGCTCCTTACTACTGGTGCGCGCCCACTGGCAATGCGGCACTAGCGGCAGCGACTAAGGCGGCGCAGCCGAAATCTCATGGCAAGTCGCCCGCTACGGCACCTCCAGCTTCGAGCGCTCCCACAGCCACGCCACCCCTAGAGGTCGAGGACGGGCCAGCTTTGGGCATGTGGCAGGATTTGTTGCCACTGGCGGTGGGCCACCAAAGCGGAAAGCACGCCCGCAGCATCCAACAAGAGCGGGATATACACCGTTGACTTCGTGCTAGCGGCCAGCGGCCGCAGCGGTGTTTCAGCCCCGGAATACTGGACCATGAGTCTTGTCAATGAGTCTTGATGTGCCGGTCGCACGGCGCATTGAGGTTGAGGTTGAGGTTGTCGCGATTTCATGGTGGCACCGCAGGGTCCAACTCGCGGTGTTGAGCCTGGCCGCGCTGTCACCACCGCGCTTGCCCGCGTCCGATGGTGAGTGTTTGCGAGGCTCGAGGCCGCGGCCGGCCCAGACCCTCCGCGATCACCCGGTGGCCCTCCCATGGCCGCGCCTCCTATCAGGTCCTATCACTTCCCGTGGACACCGGCATGCGTCAGCGGGTGTGTGAAAAAGGGTTTCCTGCGCAGTTCCGCTTGCTGCGCAGGAATCAAGATCTTCGTGAAACGACAGTTGAGGCTTGAAGCGCAGCTTTGCTGCAAGCGAAACGATTTTCACGCGTTACTACGGATTTCTGTTCCAACTCGAAAATGGCCGACATGTGTCGGCCCACAACAGCTCGAATGACCGTGGTAACCAGTTAACCAAGATCTCCGGTTCACTGGAGAGTGCAGCTTGTTTCCGGTGGGGACGAGAGGAAAGTTTATGTGAGCGGCCAATCTCCCATATCTTGAACACCTAACCCCCGCGTGTTGCTTGTGATTGCTCGCTCTATTGCCAGTTGTTTTGGTCGACAAGGCAAGGAGGGACAAACTAGGTAAGGTAAACCAAAAATGGCAAGCTGGAATTGGAGTTGGTCTGAGGTTACAACCGTCATGCCACAGTAACAGCTTCAATCTCAGACCCGCACCTCGAAGCTCCCGAGACTTGCTGCCGAAGCTGCAGTGCAGTTTAGGCTGCTCAAATGACGGATAGGGAGACCGCGTTTGGGTTCCCAAGAGCTTGGAAAAAAAAGTTTGTTGCTGAGTTGGATCTCGTCACGTCCAAACCCAATTCGTATTTCCAGCGCAAAGATGCAAATCGCTCAAACCATTGAGTTCTTGGCTTGTTGACCTCATGTTGAAGGTCGTCGGATTTGAACTGCCGCCCACATATCCTTCAGGCTTTGGGATGTTTCCTGGGCACGTCCTGCTCAGGAAGGAGGGGAGGGATAAGATGTATTTAGCTAGCATTATTGGGTTCATGAATCAATCTTTCGGCGGATTTCTGTTTCCGACGACTTTCAAGCTTTCAGTTTAATGATTCATAAGATTTGCCGTCCTGCATCCTGTTGCTTTGCGTTGCCAATGGACACTGCATGTCCCGCTTCCAAACGATAGGTGCGTTATATGATCCTGGACCATGAAAAGTTTCCTGCGGCCGTCTTCCAGACAAGCCCTTAGGGGTTGTTGCAGTCGTCCCTTCCACGTGCGTCAGCTGCACTCCGCCAGTCCTGGGGCCATGTCCGTCACACCAGCTTCGGACCGGTAAGGGCTTCGGGTTATTCAGGGAAAGCGATGTCAAGTGGGTGTGTACATGCCCCAGGGCATCTTACAGCTGTCAGTTCGAAAAGACGCTGGGATTTGGAAGTTTGTCGAGGCCAGGAAGCCTTCTCCAAAGCCTTCCGAGGACTGCTCCACGCCACCGCCTGTCAGATCCCCCAGCTTGGGTGCAAAGGCCTGTTTCGGTTGGGGCTCAAGGTCTTTGCAGCTCAATCCACGTGATGGTTCCAACATGAAGGATCAATACTTGACCCGACATCCAAGTACTTCGTATTGTGGCTGGGCCCAGTTACAACCCCAGCAGATCCTACCACCCCCATTGCGGTTGTTGTTGCGCCTTGGTCTTATAGTTAGAACAGCACGAGGGGGGGCTGTTTTAACAACTCCCCATTTGTTGTTGTTTTTTTCTCCCTGTGCAGCCACTCCGAACCCCTCCCACCCCGGAGCCTCCGTTGATTGGAAGCCATTTCAGCAGGAGGTTCTGTGCTGGTGGTACGTGTTCCCTTTTCAGCGCCTCCAGTTGCCTGTGCTGACATGGGTTTGGTGAGGCCAACATTCCGGAAGTGGCGACTTTGTTGTCCTTTTTGGAGAAGCTGTGGCTGCACAATTAGTATTAATGGAGTTTCCGCTGATAGATCTGCAGGTGCAAGGCTTTGACTACAGCGCGTGCCCTGGGATGTTACATCCCGACGGTGCCATCGCCCTGCTTTCACCACCTCTTTGTCGCCATTTCTCATGATTAAGACGTTCATGTTTCAGAACCACAGTCTCGTTAAAGAGTCGGGTGCGATGGCACGAGGTGTATGAATCTGAAGTTTGGGGCAGCCCAACGCCCAGGAATCGGCCACTCGACGTCGATCCGTTGACATGGGCCCAGCTTTCTTGCAAGCCTCAACAGGCGTGATGCGGGCCGGGAGTCAGGAGGAAATTTGAACGGTTCAGTAAACCGAGCAGAGTCAAACTCCACAACGCCCGGTAGCCGTCATTTTGCAGGCAAAGGCATACCTGACTTCTCTTGTCCCGCTCAGCCGCGTACGCAGGTCGTGCGGCCACCGCCGGGACTTTGCGAACCATGCTTTTCTGGCACCAAGCCCCGTCAGAATGCGGAGGGCGCTTCCAATGCGTGTCGGGCTTGAGGTCCCGAACATCCCCATCTTACATGAAAGCCATTTTGATACTGTGTGGGGATACTCTGGGGAGGGCCGAGGAGACACGCTGCCGGACCTTCCGCATCTACGGCTTGTGCTCTATCTTTGGCTCGCTGGCCTTTTCTGCAGGTTCTCCAGCCTTCTCTGCATGTCATGTCAGACTGTCATGTCATGCAACATCAACGGAAATCTTATCAGAAAGAGCCGCAAAATCAACCTGACCAATTTCAAGGGCTAGGCTCTGTGTGTGTGTGTGTGTGTGCGTGCGTGGCTAGGTTTCCTGCCGCTGATCTTTGTGAGGACACGGGTATGCTCCTTTAACTGGTCCCGTGCAAAAGCATTCGTGTTGATTGTTCGAGATGTCGAGAGTCTGGATCCCAACCCAGGCAGTCTGTTTGAGGAGAAGCTGCAGCTCCATTTGACAAAGCAGTGCCATCCCTGTGTCTCGGCACTTCCACCTGTCTAAGCATTGGTTGCCTTGTACTTTGGTGATCCATTGAAACCAGTGTCGTGCGGTTCATGCAAGCTTGCCAAGCAAAGTGGCAGGACTTGCAGTGTGAGTCAGCTTGGGTTGGTGCAGTGAATGTTGCAAGGTGGAGAAAAACCGCTTGCCCTCCAAGGCATAGCCTTCGCCTTCAAGAAAGATCGATGCTGCCTGACTATTGTGGCGGCCGAGGGTCGCCATCTTGGAGCTGAGAAAGGTTTTGCCTTGTCAGGTGCTTGTGGGCTGCTAGCAGAAATGCCAGCGGTAGCAGCGGATCGCGAGCAGAAGCAGCCAGTCACGGCAACAGGAGGAATATGCGTAGCATGTAGCAGCAGCCGGATAGGCAGCAGCAGCAGCAGCAGCAGCAGCAGCAGCAGCAGCAGCAGCAGCAGCAGCAGCAGTGATGCAGCAGGAGCTAGTTAGCAGCATCATCAAGACTTTTTGTACCAGCAGCAGCGGGACGAGCAGGAGCAGCAATATTGGTCAATGTTGTGTAGCTGTAGTATCGCCAAAAACACAGTAGCACCAGAAGTAGTAAGTAGCGGTTGCAGCGAAAGTCGTCGTTGTTGTCATCATCGTCGCAGTCGAAGTCGCGGTCGCAGCTGCAGCCGCAGTCGTAGTCGTAGTAGTGCCAGTAATGGTCGTAGTCGTGGTCGTACTGTAGTCGTAGTTCGCAGTAGTCGTGGTAAGTAGTAAGAAGTACTTTACATAGTAAGTAGTAGGTAGTCAGTAGTCAGTAGTAGTTTGTAGTTTGTGATTGTACAATGACATAGGTCGGGGCCATGTGCTGTACTGTGAACACATGTTCATTGCTGTGGCAAGTTTTCGGCCCGAGGCGCATGGAAGTCCGCCCCGTTGCTGCGGAGGTTGCTGGGGGCTCTGCAGCCTCTCTTTGGTCTTTGTTCTTCCGAGTCATTGACCAGGTGCAGCCTGCTGCTGCTGCTTCTGCCCTCCCTTTTGTACAACCCAAGCTGGGACCCATCTTTTATCTATCTGCTCTGCATTCTTTGGCATTCCTGGCGCTCTTGGGTGCGCTCGCGGCTGGGGTTGCATCGACCCCTCTAGCCCCCTGCGTCTGGGACAAGGCTCCAGTGTGTTGGGCCCTGGGCCACTTCCGCCGCGGAGTGGTGCGCCAGGTTAAGGCCTTCCGGCAGCGTTGTCTTCGAGGTGAACCAAGAGGCAGCTCAGGGAGACACCAGGTGGAGCTGGCGAACAAGTATTATATCGTCTGTCGTGGTCACAAGCTGAGATTGTACACCCCGCTTGGTTTCGTCCTTCAGCGAAGTCAAGGCAGCTTGCTTCGCTCAAGGTCTATAGGATCAGCATACGTACACTTGTGTTCCAGCTGACAGCCATTGTGTGTTGCCCCTTTGCACAGATACTTCGTCTACAGTGCGAGAAGTGCCAAGAGTGGACTGAGGGTGCCTGCTCAGGGAACGACGGTCATTATCCAATCGTGGGCGTCGCATCACAACTTCAAGCTCGGTGAGGTGAGCACAGAACATCAAGACCAAACCCTCACGCAGCTTATCAGCCGTAGGCTCTGCCTACACAAGGACTTTGACATCGTGACAACACACCAACAATGACATCTGGATCAAGTGCAGATACGACAATGACCTTTGGTGGTGAAGTGCCAATGCTAGCAGTTGGTGACTCAACTGTTGATGAGGCAACCACACTCTCTGTGGACTCAGCGGCCACGGAGGAAGCAAAGAAGAAGAAACCGTCAGAATCATCGACAAATGCGAACCAGAGATCAAGAGCCAGATCGTTGCCAAGGACCTTATCGCAACAACGATCTACGTCTGCTGGCACAAGAGTCAAGCTAGGCGAGAGACGTCTATCGAAGACGGTGATGCAATGTTTGCAATTGACAACGAAGACAAAGGATCGTGAACCGAAAAGCCCAGAACAATCGAAGTCAAAATCTTCATCCAGAAGTACGTCGCGGAAGAGTGCCAAGACACCACCGGAGCCTTCATTTCACCCCCTTCTGTGAGAAGGCAGACGACTGACCGAAACCCTGTGCCTTCGGCAAGGGACGGCAAGGGATGCTGGTCTACCAGCTACTGGCGACTTGGACAATGCTGACTTAATGCTGGACAGGGCTATCCAAGCTCAACGACAGGATGATGCACGCGGCAGACTTCAAGTGTTGAGCCCTTACAGGTCAAGGTCGCCATACTTCACAAGCAGTCGGTGAACAACGCGTACAAGAGCTACTACGTGTCGAAGAAGAAATGAGAAGAGCACATGAACAAGAAGTACGACAGCACAAGGAAACAGTGGGAGCAATGACGACGCAAGTGAACAACATGGTGCAGTGGATCAGATTCCATGAGCAAGAAGACCAACGGGCAACAACGAGGATTGAAGAGCTTGAACGACAACGTGACCTACTGTCAAGCGCAGTCGGACATGTGAATAAAAGACATCAAGAGACTACCGAGGAGTACGTCCATGTGATGAGAGGAATTGAGGAAGCGAGCTACGCCCGGCATCATCGTGATGAAGAAACTGCCGAGTTGCTACATCAAGAGTTGGGCCAGCTCCGCAGCGAAGCTACACAGAGTCTCACAAATCTGGAACAACAAGCTCAAGGTGATGGACACACCATGGCCAAACAGTACCAGAAACTTGCTGACACTCTCCATGTCAAAGCGAAGCCCTACATTTCAGGATGGAATCTTCAAGCAGAGAGTCCGAACTGGCAGCAACGAGGGAAGCAATCGAGAAGGTCAGAGGAGAAGAACATTTGGCTGAGGAAGAGGCGAACAGCAAGATCCTTGAGGCAGAATCTGGAGTATATTCTTTGCAGAATCGGTTGAACAAGGAAGAGCTCGCCAGGTACGAAGCCAACTTGAAGATGGAACAGGCTGAGTTTCATGCACGACAAGCTCATGAACGTGAACGTTCGCTGACTGCTTTGCACAGTGAGTTGGGTGAACTACGCCTTCGTCTGAAGCAACACGAAGAAATCAAGCACGCAGTCAACAAGCATGGAAACTTGAACTTGAAGCTGAACGCCTGCGAAATCAACAGACTTCTCAACGGTCACCAAATGTGTGGTCATCGAAGACTTCTGGGACGGGATGGGAGTACGTGAGTAGCCAAGTCAGTAGTCAGAAAGGGTTGTCTTTTCCAGTAGGAGCAGATGCGCGATCCCCTGACATCGGTTCTCCGTCGCAACGTAGTCCCATGAACAGAGGTAAAACCATTACTGAGACTTGCTCCGCAATTTCGCCTATCGTGCAAGATGTCAATATGGACCAACCGAGCCCGTTATTGCCATCAAGCACGGTGCCAACGCCAAACACCGCACCTACCGGGGCGGAAATGCGAGACAATCAGCTTCGTGATCTTCTTAAAATGCGAGGCATGTATGGAGGATCATCATCTTCGTCTTCTGCTGCTCCACAGCATGTGAACATGTTTACAGGGCGATCCAACAAGAATATCTTCATGGAAGAAGATGATGACGGCAAGACGCAAAAGTTGATTGCTCAGCTGGTGGAACAGGACGTTAAGACGCTCGATGAAGCCAGACAAGGTGACAAAGCTGTTTTCCGGTCGGTGCCATCGGCTCGACCTGAACAGGTGTTGCCTTCGACTTCGACATGAGCTACGTCAAGCAAAGTTGAACGAAGAACGATTACGAGAAGATCGGAACGTTTGGCGGCAAACAGCAGAGCAATTTCGACAGGAATACGAACAGGACAATGGTGATGGGGAAGAAAAGGAGGATGGAGATGAAGTTTCACCCTCTGAATCTCCGACGAACCTTGGGCCTGGAGCACCTGGTGGTGGTGATGGCAATGATGACATACCAGCTCGAGGACACAAGCGTCGTGGCGGTGATCCAGATCCTACGCCTCCCGACGATCCTGATGAAAATGGTGACCCTGAGGTCGCATCAGTCAAGATATATATTTCGAGAAGGGAAGCCGACAAGGTTGTGGTTCCACCGTTCCCACGAATAACACACCTTGACAGTTGGATGGCTCACTGCAATCGCGAATGTCCTCAGTGCCTGCGCGGACCCGAATCATGAAGAGTGGATAAGTTGGTTAAAGCCAGCATTCCGACCAACTCCTGACATTGATGGATTGAACGATTCAGGGAACATCAAGTTCAAAAGCATTGACATGAAGTTGGGTGTGGCAATGACAGCCATGATCAAGGCAGGTGGTGACAACGCCCAGGATCTTTACTTGAACGTAAACCGAAAGGCAAACAAGCTTGTCCGGGATGCTTCAAAGCTCACCAAAGAAGACAAATCACCGCCATGATGTACGAGACTTCAGAACTCGTGATCGAATGGACA